TTACCTCACAAGGAAGGGGAATGCTCAACAGGTGTTGTCTAGATGACCAGACAGATACAATACATACTTTTGTTAATGTATCTCTATGTTTCCTAAATCCTTTATTCTCGCCCTTCCCAGTGTCAGCATTCTATTCAACAGTCAATGCCCAGGGATGTACAACCAAGAATTCATGTTCCTACTCAACAGGAAAAAAGGAAAAAGGAAATGGATTAATCATTTTCGACCTTGAAAAACTAGAATGTCAGAATCCTGAGGGACTGGAAGAATGGAGTGGCCTTTCAAGAACATTTGGTTGGAGTTGGAATTAAGGGCTTAATCCAAAGAGCAGTAAGGATTTGGGATGAAAGACACTCAAGTTTGAGATTAAAGTTTAAGATTTGAGTTGGTGATCGGTGATGCGATTTAATTATTACACTTCGTTTTTCTAGCTCACTGTGAGGTTCTTTCTTAACTTTCAACTGTCATGAAACTGTAATCAAAATAAACTAAGAATGCAATCGAGTCTTGTGTAATTCATTCAAGCAATTAAACAAGCGGCAGGAGATATTTATTTTAATAGCTTTTTATCTCATCTCTATTATTTTTATAAATATATAATACTTCTTTCTCCTCCTGTTTTCCTCATGACCACTGCCGTATGTGAGGTGGGTTGGGTTGAGAGAGAGGGCCTGGCCCAAAGTCACCCAGTTGGCTTTCACGCTTAAGGCAGGACTAGAACTAACAATCTCCTGGTTTCTAGGGTGGAAGTTGTCCCTCATAGCATCCATTCTTAGGTATTCATATCAATAATCTCAAGGAACTTTCCTTTGAAAGACCTCCTGTAGTTGACTCTTGGGAGTCAAGAGGGGGATAAAGGTATTTTACCCTGGATAATCTGGTATGCTTATTGAGATAATTTATAGAGCTTCCATTCTCTTAATGTCACTGGATGCTTTACCAACATTAAACTAAAAATCTGTTGGAGGTAGTAATTTGTGTAATGCAAGAACTAGTAAAGCAATTAAGTTAAAGCAAGTCAAAGAGTGAGTGTCATTGGAAATAAGCTTGGAGTGATCCCAGGTGGTTCCATCACTACCATCCTGAGATCACAAGCTCTTCTAGACTTGTGTCTCTCAACCTCAGCAATTCAACATGTGAAAATCTCAACTCCCAGAATTCCCCAGCTAGATTTTAATNGTAATGCAAGAACTAGTAAAGCAATTAAGTTAAAGCAAGTCAAAGAGTGAGTGTCATTGGAAATAAGCTTGGAGTGATCCCAGGTGGTTCCATCACTACCATCCTGAGATCACAAGCTCTTCTAGACTTGTGTCTCTCAACCTCAGCAATTCAACATGTGAAAATCTCAACTCCCAGAATTCCCCAGCTAGATTTTAATGCTGGGAGTTGATGCACAATGTTAAAGTTGCTGAGAAACATGATCTACACAGGAACGTAAAAAATCAGAATAACATAATTACAGTGTTGGAAGGAACCTGGGAGGTCTTCTAGTCCAAGCCCCTTTTCAAGCAGGAGACCCCCGGTTCTCTGTGTGGATGCTGTTTCCGGAAGTCCATTCTGGGTCTGGGCAACATAAAATTAGCTACCAGTTCTACCAAACTGGTGTAAACTGGCTGAATCCCACCAATGAGGAGACCTATACTATTACAGGCAAGTTGCTGTCCAGTCTCTTCTGAAAAGCCTCCAGTGATGGAGCACACACAACTTCTGAAGGCAAGCTCTTCTATGGGTTAATTGTTTTCACTATTAATCATCATTAGCCACTGTTAATCAGTTTCTCTTCTATCCAGAGCAGGAACTAGAAGGACCTGGTGATCTCTTAAGAAAATGCCAACTGCTTTTCCAACACTCTCCTTCCTTAGAATGGAAGGAAAACATTTGCTGTTGTTTTTCTCCATGCCACAAATGGGGGGGAGACAGAGAAGCAAGCGGTGAGGCATCTAGCTGATGTTGATGTTTTTGTTGCTTGGAATCTAGAGCATCAGAGGAGGAGAATGAGAATCCCTACAGACATTTGATCTTAAATGGAAGAGATAAAGGTTTCCCCTGTCCAGTTGTTCTTCAATTCTAGGGGGAAGTGCTCATCTCCATTTCCTAGCCAAGCGTTGTCTGAAGATGCTTCCATGGTCATGTGGCAGGCATGAGCATACGCCGAGGTGCACAGAACGCTGTTAACTTCTCATCAAAATGGTACCTATTTATCTACATGCATTTGCATCTTTCAAACTGCTAAGTTGGCAAGGAGCTGAGGCACGAACAGGGGCTCACTCCATTGTGCTGTGCTCAGGTCTCAAACCGTCAGCCTTTCGGTTGATAAGACCAGCATATCTTCATATCCCATTTTGCGCCAATCCAAGAGCAATAATGATCAAGCAGCAGCTTGATCAGCTAAAAATGCAGAAGGGGAAATGTCACAGGGACCACTGTTGTAAATTAATCCTTTATTGCTGTTTTTTTAATTGAAAACATATTTGAGGCGTTTTAAGAGAAGTATAAAATATTTGAAGTAAATAAATATTGAAAGGAAGGCAGAAGTAAATAAAAATTGCCTGAACAGCAGTGGCAACACCTTTTAAAGCTTATTTTCTTACAGCCACAAAAAATGGAGTGGGGGCCAGATGTAGGGACAATAGTAATTGAGCTTCCTTTGGCCCCATTTTTTTTCCTGTATCCCATCTGCTTTGAAATGTCCAATGGCTGCATTCACACAACAAGCTTAATCAGGTCAGTTACAAACTTAAATCAGCATTCCCATACGTGTAATTAGTATTTAAATATGGTTAGGTTCTAGTCTAGACATCATCTCTGGAATTCCCTAATAGTTTCCCACAGCTAGCCCTGTTCCAACATCACCCAAAAATAGACAGGGGCTACCATCTTGTGCAAGATTTCTCAACCTCCACAACTTTAGAAAATGTGGACTTCAAGTCCCAGAACTCTCCAGCTGGAATGCTGAGGTTGAAAAACACTTGAAGTTGCTTTTTAACAACACTTAAAGTTGTATTAAGAGACTCTCTTAAAGTTGCAGAGGTTGAGAAACACTGATCTACTGAGACAGACTAGATATCTGGACTATAAGNCTTCATGTAGCTTTAACCATGTCACCTGCAGTAACAACTAGGTTTGAATCGTTTCAACATTGGATAATTGTGATTTAGTGGCCTACCATATTGCATGATTCCATTTAGTTAGCCAATATTGCAGTTGTGCAAATAAAGAAAACGGAATAGCCATGTTGTGACTAAATACAGCTTCTGTTTTTCACAATTAAGTAAAAAAAGTTGAACCTCATCCTATTCCAATTCTTTATCCACTAAAGGGGAGGGTAGAATTTTTTGAGTGGCTGGCTGAGGGTTGCAGTGCAAAACATTGAGTGGGGCCAGGGTGCAGGTATCAAAATACTAGAAGTGCTCCTCCATTTATATTTCACACTTACATACAGTGAAAGTTGACAACCATGTTCAAATCCAGTAAAATCACCCTGATGTCCTCTACTCACACTTTGCCAATCTGGCTCTTCTGGAAGAAATGAGTTTGTGGACCCTTCACAGGGCAGGGTCCACATCTTCCCCACTGATCAGGACCATAGAAACAAGAAACTGGGTGCATAAATCAATCCCATGCCAAATTCCTTCCTTCAGGTTTCAGGTTGAGCGTTTAGCCACTGGAAAACTAGTACCAGAGTTTGCCAGCCTTTCTCAGTTCTTTGGAAAATCAAAGGTACAACAATTTGTGTGAGTGGGAAGCTGAAAGCAGACCAACAGGGTAGAAGAAGTAGGGAGGGACCACAGAAGATGACCAGGCAGGCAGAAACTCAGAAGCAAATATTAAGAAGGAACAGCCCCACTAGAAAAGACTGGACCAAGTTGTACCAAGAAACAATTCCTGATGCAAAACTGCACATGTTGGTTGTGACTTCAACGTTGCGGCCAGCAGCAAACAATGCCACCGCTCCCATGTCGCATAAATTCTTGGTAGCACATCCTGTGAAGGCAACCTGTTGGTCCTTGAATTCTTCTACATTGGAAGGATGGAAAGGAAAAGGATTAACCAGGTTGAATGGATAGAACTATCTCTAGAATTCTTCAGAGAATAACAGGGAGTTCCCGATTCTGCTGCGTTTCTGTATATTTATTAACATGGTTGTAAATTCACTTTGACAAAGATGGAGTCAAGGGCTAGCTCTCAGCTCACCACCATTCATTTAGTGATCGAAGTCACAATGACTCTGAAAAAAGTGACCTATGACCCAGTCTTCACACTTCACAACCATCACAGCATCCCCACAATCATGTGATCCAAACTTGGCTACTTGGCAACCGGCATGCATTTACAACGGGTTGCAATGCTCCAGGTTCTTGGGATTGTCATCTGAAACCTTCTGACGTGCAAAGCCAATGAGAGAAACAGGATTTGCTTAATAACCAGAATAATACTACTTAACATAATATAATAATAATAATAATACTTAACAACTGCAGTGATTCACTTAAGAATTGCGGCAAACTCCCCCCCCCCAAAAAAAAATTGGGTTCAACTTACTTAACAATCGCCCTGCTTAGCAACACGAATTCTGGTCCCAAAATGTGGTTTGAAGTCGATGATGACTTATCGACAGTAGAATTCCAATTGACAAAAGATTTTGCTCTTCACCATAGCCGGTCCTCTTTCTATCTACCATATTTTTCTGTGTATAAGATGCTATTTTTTTCCTGCAAACACCCTCTTCAAAAGTCAGATGCGTCTTATACGCGGAAAAATAATGGTAACCTCCGCAGGGGGTCCAGGGCATGCCTGTGTGCGTTGCCATGCCACCTGGTGCAGGTGTCAAGCCCCTGTGGGCTTGCCACTAATGGGAGGGGGGAAGGGGCAAGATCTTCAGCTGGCCGAACTTGCGGATTTGCCGGCTCAGCTGTTAGGCGCTCCGCCGAACAGCTGATCAGCACGGAGACCCTCTTATACAAGGGTGCGTCTTAGAGACAGAAAAATATGGTACTTACCTTTCTTGGCACGGGTGGCAAAGTGGATGCAGTGGGTCATGAGGCCTGTGCAGGCCATCTCGGTCTTGTTGAGACACAAATCTGTGCCATGGGCAAAGCATGAATTGCAATGGACTCCATTCCGATTCTGAGATGCTTTTTGAACTATGGATGGAGAGACCCAAAAGAAGAACTTGAGAATCTCTACAATAGGCCACGATTTGCTCAAGTGATTAGACAAAGCAAAAAGAAAAAAAGACTCAGAGCATTGGTGCTTATGTATGTTGTCTTAGCATCCTGGATGGGTGCAACAGATACTGCCAAATTTACCCTGCCGTTATTTCCTTCCCAGCAAGACTTTACTGAAATTAGCTTGAAAAAAAAGAACAGGACTTCCCTCTCCCCACTTCTTTCAGATGCATGCTTGTATTGAAACAAAGTTTGGCATCTTAGACAAATCACTTCTGGATAATGCACTATGATAGGAGTCCCCAATCCCCTGGGCCATGGACCGGTACCAGTCTGTAGCCTATTAGGAACCAGGCTATGCAAGTCAGCTAAACTTCATTTGAACATGCGTGAGATCTGGATTGTTGTTAGTTGCAAAGTCGTGTCCGACCCATCGCGACCCAATGGACAATGTTCTTCCAGGCCTTCCTGTCCTCTACCATCTTCTGGAGTGCATTTAAGCTCACGCCTGCTGCTTCAGTGACTCCATCCAGCCACCTCATTCTCTGTCGTCCCCCTTTTCTATTGCCCTCCATCTTTCCCAGCATTAGGCTCTTCTCCAGTGAGTCCTTCCTTCTCATTAGGTGGCCAAAGTACTTGAGTTTCAACTTCAGGATCTGGCCTTCTAAAGAGCAGTCGGGGTTGATCTCCTCTAGGGCTGACCACTTTGATCGCCTTGCAGTCCAGGGGACTCACAGGAGTCTTCTCCAGCATCATAGTTCAAAGGCCTCAATTCTTTGGTGCTCAGCCTTTCTTATGGTCCAGCTTTCACAGCCATACATTGCAACTGGGAAAACCATGGCCTTGACTAGATGCACTTTTGTTGGCAGGGTGATGTCTCTGCTTTTTAATATACTGTCTAGATTTGCCATAGCTTTCCTCCCCAGGAGCCTAAAAGAGAAAACCAACACTGGCCTGTGGAAAAATTGTCTTCCACAAAACCAGTCCCTGGCACCAAAAAGATTGGGAACTACTGCTCTATGAGACAGGTGGATATTTTGGAGCAGATCTTGACAGCACATATTGTCACATCTTCATACTGTATATTGCCTGTCTTCAGGAAGGAGAGGAGAAAGGAACTCAGAGCCAATTTTTGCTAACTGCCATGAAGATGGCCTCCTCCAGATCTCATTTCTCAAGAAGTAACCACTGTGAAAGCCACACTCCGTGGCTACATAATAGTTTCCCTGTGTTTTGAGAGCTCGTGTGCCACCTCCTGGTGCTTTTTTTCAGATTGAGAACAATTCCCCACATTTTGCAGGGGGTTTTTTTCCCATTCCAAAGAGATTACTGATATTCATGGGACAGGAAAGGAACTCGGTGGCCATCCAAATGACCTTGGAATTAATCTCCCCAGAGCAGGGGTAGGCAACCTTGGCTCTTTTATGACTCGTGGACTTCAACTCCCAGAATTCCTGAGCCAGCCACGCTGAGGGGAAAGGGAGAGGTTTCCAAGCTGAGCATGCTGGCTCAGGAATTCTGGGAGTTGAAGTCCACGAGTCATCAAAGAGCCAAGGTTGCTTACCCCTGCCCCAGAGCCACTGCAAGGATCAACAACAATGGATGGTACGAATTAGCAATGCCAAGGGCTGTCTAGGGAACATGGCTGCCTTTGTCGGAAACCTGCTTTAAAAGAATTGTTCACGTGCTGCTTAATCCGACCTGCCTGGCTTCTTTCATTGAAACCACCCCAGTTCTTTACCCGTTATTTCCTCAATGTTGCAGCGGTCGGCACGGCAGCAGCTGGAATTCCACCGCATGCGAAAATCTCCTGCCATCAACCCATAAAACTGGTTGCACAATCGGTCGTCAGAGTTGCACTTCTTCTCGTAAACTGGGTTTTCTATGTCTTGTGTCCCTGGGGATGGAAGTCAGATCAATTAAACAGTTAGGGCCAGGGGTAGGCAACCTTGGCTCTTTTATGACTCGTGGATTTCAACTCTCAGAATTCCTGAGCCAGCTATGCTGAGGGAAAAGGGAGAGGTTTCCAAGCTGAGCCATGCTGGCTCAGGAATTCTGGGAGTTGAAGTCCATGAGTCATAAAAGAGCCAAGGTTGCCTATCCCTGGCCTAGACTTAGTGTTTCTCATCCTTGGCCACTTGACAATGGGAGGACTTCATCTCCCAGAATTCCTGAGCCAGCCATGCTGAGGGGAAAGGGAGAGGTTTCCATGCTGAGCCATGCTGGCTCAGGAATTCTGGGAGTTGAAATCCATGAGTCATAAAAGAGCCCAGGTTGCCTACCCCTGAGTTAGGTCAATTCCTGAAAAGGTATGCCTTTCCTCTACAGGGATAGCTCATAGGTCAAGGGCTACCCCTATGCCATACTGGTCCAGTGTGGGCTGGTAAATAGACTTTTTTTTTACTTTCCATTCTGATTCTCATCTACATATATTGATGGATTTCCTTTGCAACCTTTTTGAAAGCAATAAAGTCTCCTGCCTTGGGTAGGGGATTGGACTAGAAGATCTCCAAGGTCCCTTCCAGCCCTATGATTCTATATTCATAATGACCATGTATGTTGGGGATAATAGAATAGAATAACAGAGTTGGAAGGGACTTTGGAGGTCATCTAGTCCAACCCCCTGCTCAGGCAGGAAACCCTATACCATTTCAGACAAATGGTTGTCCAGTCTCTTCTTAAAAACTTCCAGTGTTGGAGCAGTCACAACTTCTGGAGACAAGTTGTTCCACTGATTGTTCTAACTGCCAGGAAATTTCTCCTTAGTTCTAATTCTCCTTGGTTAGTTTTCATCCGTTGCTTCTTGTCCTGCCTTCAGGTGCTTTGGAGAGTAGCTTGACTCCCTCTTCTTTGGGGCAGCCCCTCAAATATTATTGGAACACTGCTATCATGTCCCCCCTCGTCCTTCTCTTCGTTAAACTAGACATACCCAATTCCAGCAACCGTTCCTTATATGTTTTAGCCTCCAGTCCCCTAATAATCTTTGTTGCTCTTCTCTGCACTCTTTCTAAAGTCTCAACATCTTTTTTACATCATGGTCACCAAAACTGGATGCAGTATTCCAAATGTGGCCTTACCAAGGCATTGAAAAGTGGTATTAATACTTCACGTGATCTTGATTCTATCCCTCTGTTAATGCAGCCTAGCACTGTGTTGGCTTTTTTGGCAGCTGCAGCACACAGCTGGGTGCCAAATATTTAAGTGATTGTCCACTTGCACTCCAAAATCTCCCTCAAATTTACTACTATTGAGCGAGATACCACCTATACTGTACCTGTGCATTTGATTTTTCTTGCCTAAATGTAGAACCTTACTTTTTTCACCATTGAATTTCATTTTGTTAGTGCCCAATGTTCAAGTCTGTCAAGATCCTTCTGTATCTTAAGCCTACCCTGGAGAGATAGGGCTTGCTATGGGCAACCTTGAACCCATTGACATAACTCAATGACAGAACAAACCATTTTATGCAGAAGGTCCCACATCCTATCTCTATACCAGACATGTCAAACACAAGGCCCAGGGGCCGGATGCGGCCCGCAAAGTGGTTTCATATGGCCCATGAAGCCATCCTGGAAACAGTGAGGGAATGGCCCCCGCTGCCTTGGCCCTGGCCCAGGCCAGCCGGGAGCCAATGTACAATTTTGTGGCGGCCATCTTGGCACTTGCTAAATGTAAAACCATCCTCAGTCCTCCAGAAAAAAAAATAGAAGTTAAGAACAGATGGGGGGGAAAGAGATAAACAATTATTTTCTAGACAAATTTGTTTTAGAGACAGACTGAAAGATAGTTACAGACCTGTGTCCTCATCCCGGGCGATGGTGATACAGCTGTTGACCGTAAGTGGACATTTCTGCTGAGCTGTGCTGCAGTTATAACCTTCTGTGCTGGTACAATTGAAGCAGAAAATGGTGTCCACTATAGGGAGATGTTGAAAGAAAGTTAATGCAATCATCACTGAGGATGTTTATTCTCAGTCCTCCAGGTCAAGGTTGTCCCAGAGGTCCTTTTTCAGGAAGCAACTGGACTTGTGCCATAATAATAATAATAATAATAATAATAATAATAATAATAATAATAATAATAATAATAATAATAATAATAATAATAATAATAATAATAATAATAATAATAATAATAATAATAATAATAAAGTTGGAAGGTACCTTGGAGGTCATCGAGTCCAACCCCTGCTCAGGCAGGAAACCCTACACCATTTTGGACAGATGGCTGTCCAGTTTCTTCTTAAAAACTTCCAGTGTTGGAGTATTCACCGCTTCTGGAGGCAGGTTGTTCCATTGATTAATTGTTCTGTCAGGAAGTTTCTCCTTAGTTCTAGGTTGCTTCTCTCCTTGATTAGTTTCCATCCATTGCTTCTTGTCCTGCCTTCAGGTGCTTTGGAGAGTAGCTTGACTCCCTCTTCTTTGGGGCAGCCCCTGAGATATTGGAACATGGCTATCATGTCCCCCCTCGTCCTTTTCTTCATTAAACTAGACATACCCAATTCCAGCAACCGTTCCTCATATGTTTTAGCCTCCAGTCCCCTAATCATCTTTGTTGCTCTTCTCTGTACTCTTTCTAGAGTCTCGGCATCTTTTTTACATTGTGGTGACCAAAACTGGATGCAGTATTCCAAGTGTGGCTTTACCAAGGCATTGTAAAGTGGTATTAATACTTCACGCGATCTTGATTCTATCCCTCTGTTAATGCAGCCTAGCACTGTGTTAGCTTTTTTGGCAGCTGCAGCACACTGCTGGCTCATATTTAAGTGATTGTCCACTGGGACTCCGAGATCACTCTCACAGTTACTACTATTGAGCAAGGTACCCCCTATACTATACCTGTACATTTGGTTTTTCTTGCCTAAATGTAGAACCTTACTTCTTTCACCATTGAATTTCATTTTGTTAGATAGCGCCCAGTGTTCAAGTCTGTTTATATCTGAAGCTTCTTTAGAAATATTTTACAGCATTCAGTATTCCAGCAAAGACTTCTCATTCTACAGCTTGAAGGACTTGATTCCATTAAATCACTGTTCCCTGTTGAACTTCCACTAATTGTTCTACTTTTAAAAACTCATGAACTTTGCCATGAAAAAAAAATCAATATTTTTTTTAAAAAAAGAATGAAAAAGGACCCACCCAAATGAGTTATGGGTCAATGAACAGGCTGAACAAACACACCAATTCCTTGCCAGTTTTGGAGCTGAGTCAACTCAACCCACTCTACTTTTTGCAGAACTATTAAGCCTTAAGGGTGAGCTAAGGATTAGAAAAAATTAAAATGGATACACCTATCCAAAAAAAAAAAAACAAGAGAAGAGAAGGGCAGCTGGGTAGAATTGCAAAGAATCTCGTATTTCACATTGGCCAAATTGACAGTACTGAATCACACGTAGCCTTGCTGCTCAGATTTCTTTAAGCAAATGCAAAACAAACATCTCTTAAAGCACATTAAACTTCTGCTGTTCCTCGTTAGAGACGGAGTTGAGCAACCTGATGGCAAATAAGGACAATTACAAAAAAAACTGACCAAAGTCAAGTATGGCAGAGAAAGAGTTAAGGATATGACAGCTAAGAAGGGGGGGGAAAAACCTTTGGGTTGGCCCCCTTCCCTTGGTACCCTATGCAGGTGCTTATTTTGCTTAATGGCTAATCCAGAGCTGGCTATCTGCCTTCTTTAGCCATTTTGTAGGCACTTCCTGATGGGATCATGTCTTACCAATGAGAACAGAAGAAGAGAAAGACCAGTTTGCCATTGCCATCCCAGAAAGCATGGCCTGTCTCTTTCTTTCAGATCATGGCTCTCTCGTCCTTAAAGCAAATATTTTTTCCCCACATTGGGACGGAAAGCTATTGCTTCTACTGCGATCCTCATGACCCCAGCTAACAAGAAGAGATTAGCATAACTTGCTGTCTGCAACTGGTGATGTCCCTCAGCTCTTGGGATAGAAGAGTGGAAAAGTCCACGAAGGAAGAAGGTGCCAATTTCATGATGGTTTATCTGTTTCTTGTTTCATAGACCCAGTTCTTCCTTCTCCAGAGTACCAGGAAGTACTCAGGGGCTGCCACAAAGAAGAGGGAGTCAAGCTATTTTCCAAGACGCCTGAAGGCAGGACAAGAAGCAACGGGTGGAAACTCACCAAGGAGAGAAGCAACCTAGAACTAAGGAGAAACTTCCTGACAGTTAGAACAATTAACCAGTGGAACAACCTGCCTCCAGAAGCGGTGAATGCTCCAACACTGGAGGTTTTTAAGAAGAGACTGGACAGCCATTTGTCCGAAATGGTATAGGGTTTCCTGCCTGAGCAGGAGGTTGGACTAGATGACCTCCGAGGTCCCTTCCAACTTTATTATTATTATTATTATTATTATTATTATTATTATTATTATTATTATTATTATTATTATTATTATTAGCTATAAGACAGGATGATGTCCTCATGTAAGCCTCTTCAAAAGATTTCTAGCAAACAGTAGCTCAACTCTCTTCCACGTAGCTTGATTCAGAAAAACCACCCCCCCTTAGCCATTCTTTATTCCCTTCCTTCTTCTGTAAACTTGCATCCAAATACTGGAAAAGCTTTCTCAATTAAGGTTGCCACCTGCTCAAACAAAGCCATCCTGATTGGTTTCTCTGAGAGCCTGAAGAATTTGCAGGAAGCGGGGACTCGCTTCCAAAGCCAAACATTTAACATCCCTCATCGTTGCCAATCAAACCACTTCAGCTTCGAAGGACGGTTTCCAAGAGTTTGCTCGCAAACTGGAGTAATCAGAAATGGGAGAGAGAAACAAAAACTCCTGCAGTGCACCTGGAAGAGCCAGGAGCACCCCCTCCGTGGTTGAAAATCATCCTGTAAAGCTCTGGTCGATCCAAAGGACTTACCTGGATGTAGGAGTGGGATGAGGAGGCAAAGAGCAAGAGAGTACATGGTGTTATTTGAAAGCTCAGCTGATTTCTGGAAGTCAAGCCAGAAGCTCTCTCTTGTTCTTCTCTAGCGAACTAGATCCCTGGCCAACAGCAAGAGAGGATTACTCAAGGAGTAAAGGGCTGGGTTGGGCAACTCCGTGCTTACCTGTCTGCGGGCTTTCAAGGTGTCCTCTTCTCTTGCATGAATGCCTTGAAGCTATCTTTATTCCTTTCAAGGCGTCCTCCTCTCTCTTGCATGGATGCCTTGAAGCTCTCTTTTTCTTGTGTCAGAGGTGCCTTCAAATTATAGACATATAACTTTCAATATTGCACAAATAAAACAGATCATCAAAGGATAGCACGTGTAAAAAGTATGTAAAACAAATAGGATTAAAACTAAATGACATTCACCCAGTATTGGGCCATGTCAACAGTATCTTCTCTTGCCAGCGTGAAGTCTTCCTCCGTACACGTTGAAGGGCACGTGTGAGATGGATTGTCCGAATCCAAATTCACACAGATTATCTTCTATGGGAAAGCCACGTTTTCTTAGACGATCTTTGGCTCTTCCCACCCCTGCGCGGAGTCTATTCAGCGATTTCCATACAGGTTGAGGTTGTTCTGGACCAGGAGGCAGACACTCGTGTGGTTGAAGCCTTGAAGTGGAGTCTTCTGCAAAATCCACTCGCCATCATCCAACGTGGCCAGAAAATACAGGACATCTCTTAAGTCCCATAAGTAGCCTCCCCACAAGAGATGCAGGTGTGCCTCGGGGATTAATTGCAAGAGCTGCTGAAACTAAATCTCTCTGGCTTTAGCACAAGAGAGGCAGACTCAGAGGGACACAACTGAGCCCTGACGCTGGGAAAAGGATGGCGAACCCAGGACACGTCTATGAACGGGGACATGCCATAACATTTTGGGTGACTGGCCAGTGGTTCACCAACACCCGACAACTATTCTCGAAAACACGCCCTGTTCTTGTGCAATTTTCAGGAGGCTGTGCAGGCCACTTGAGAATGGGTTGGGTTCTCACGTGGCCTCTGGACCCTCCAGAGGTTGCACACAAGAGCCATGTTCTCGTGCGACTTCTGGAGCCTCCAAAACCCATGCAGGGCCCTGCTTTCGAGCAGTTTTCAGAGGCTGCAGAGGCTACAGAGGCCATAGGAGATTGGGATGTGCTCTCACATGGCCTCTGGACCCTCTGGAAGTTGCACACGAGCACCATGCTCCACCATGACATCTGGGACCTTTGAAAATTGTGCAAGAATGGGGCATGTTTTCGTGGGCCTTTGGAAGGGGGCTGCAGAGGCCGTGGAAGGGCACTCTTTGAAGCCAGTTCAAGAACGAAGGGCTTGTGCAACCCAGAGCAGCCTCAGGGGTCTTTCAACAGACAGAAAAGATGCACAAAGATAAACGGGGTGTGGCAGGTCCTGGCTGGACCGTGAGGTAATTGTGCCATTCGCCAAGGCTCACGTGCCTTGGGGAATGGCGTGAGGTGGCCTTTTTCAGCAGCAGCATGGCCTGGAGCTAAGGTTGAGGCCTGCACCTCTACTTCAGGCCCAGCCTTGGGGCTGCTACTGAATGCCACTGTTGGCCTAGATCAGGGGTAGGGAACCTTGGCTCTTTTATGACTCGTGGACTTCAATTCCCAGAATTCCTGAGCCAGCATGGCTCAGCATGGAAACCTCTCCCTTTCCCCTCAGCATGGCTGGCTCAGGAATTCTGGGAGTTGAAGTCCACGAGTCATAAAGTTGCCATAGTTCCCACCCTGTCTTGAGAGATGAGGTTAGGACAGGGGTAGGCAACCTTGGCTCTTTTATGACTTGTGGACTTCAACTCCCAGAATTCCTGAGCCAGCCTGGCTCATTTGCCCAACCCCCAATTCACATTCCAGTTAGCCTAACCCAGAACGTGTCTTTCTAATACTTCACAAGAAAAAAAATATCTTTCAAACATGCCCCTCATTAAAAGACTCTTTAAACCAGTTATAGCTTGGCTAAACCCTCATTCATACACAAGCATCCAGGCAAAATGTCCCAAGGCATTTAACTGCCAGTGACAAAGCTATAAATTGCATCCCTTGTGTTGTGCAGTTCCTCCAGGCTACACACACACAGAGAAGAGAAGAGAAGAGAAGAGAAGAGAAGAGAAGAGAAGAGAAGAGAAGAGAAGAGAAGAGAAGAGAAGAGAAGAGAAGAGAAGAGAAGAGAAGATCTCTTGGAGCAACTATCAATTGTCTCTTGAACAATGTCTTCACACACTCTGCCACTGTGAGAAAGCTGGCCCTCCAGAATGGCCCCACCAAAGACATGTTTCCATCAATGAAGGCCAGCTCCTGATTTCAGATGATAAACTACAGGCCTTTCACCTCCACCTGCTGTTCATTGCCAAAGGGAAACACCCATCCCATATAATCTAGTGAGACAGAGAATGTGGATCGACGGGTCCATCCAGAAAGATTATTCAGTGCCAACCTCAGAAAACTAAGGTCATATCTGCAAGCCGAAGAGCAACTTCCAATCAATCTGCTGTGCTTCCTGGAGGGTTGGGGGTGAGGGTGGAAGAATTTAATACTCTCAAGCTGATGAGGAACAAGTACAGGAAATATACATGTCTCCCATAAGCTTTTCAAGGCATCCGGTGGTGCCTTAGCAACAGCACTTAGACTTAAACATTGGAAGTTTTTAAGAAGAGACTGGACAGCCATTTGTCCGAAATGGTACAGGGTTTCCTGCCTGAGCAGGGGGTTGGACTATTATTTATTTATTTATTTATTTATTATTTTAATTTATATACCGCCCTTCTCCCATAGGACTCAGGGCGGTTCACAGCATATTAAAACAAATAATATACCCAAAATACAAAAAATACACAATACAAAAATACAAAAGAATAAACCCTGATAAAAGCCGAATTAAAACCAAATATTCCCAGCTGTGTTACCGATTAAAATA